CTCCCCCAACCGCATAGTAGCATGACGCAAAGCCTCGCGCGCGACAACTGTCGTTTCATGACTATCTAGCTGCATATTGCCCAAATGTGCCGTTGCCTCAGTTACAACTATTGCAGGCTTTGTTTCCACTGACCTATCCCTGCTTCTGTTGCGAGTGCTGGGTGGATTGTTGGATTTGTCTAAGCCACCCCTGTTAGTCCGCGACTAAGTTGAGTGGATCATGTGGGGCTAAGGATTCATACCAACAACACCGTCAGGTTCCTGGTTCTCTCCCCAGCCTCCGAGGATAGACCCAACCGCTACCTCGTACAGCGTGAGTGTCTTTACCACGGCATCTATCATTGTTTGTAGCATTCGCGCGTCCAGATGTGTGTCGGCTACGGGGCAGCCATGCAATAGTTCCCAGTGCTCGACCAAAGCTGTCCCGATGGAGAGGACTTCATCTAGAGACATATGATAAGTGTCTGGTGATGATCTAGTCGAGATGTTTGGGAAGCAATTGAGGGCTTGGGCTGTCCGGTCGAGACAGTCGCAAGGCTGCTGGGGTTGAAAGCGCTGCATAATTGGTGTGTTCCGAGCGAACAATTGAAAGCTGTCCGCTTGTCTGAAAATTTCGTTCGTTAACATTGTTATAAGGGCGGGTTTGTATCACGCTACCTCGCACTACTGGGAATTGATAAAGGTTTTGTACAAAGGAAACTGACTTGGCAACGCCAACTACTGATCATTACCTTTCCGATCCACAATAATTAGTCTTCAGGACACCTATGTGCTTACGAGGAATATCATGGTACACATATAGCGGATTGCGGCAGACAAGGGGGTTTGACTAGAGGACCATGACAAAGAATGGCCCAAGACAAAAAGGGACCTCGGGTTTTGGTCGGGCACTTATTCCTCCTTTTTTCCATATTATTCATCCATCGGGTACTTTCCAATTCTTCCAATGTTATTCGCTGGGTACTTTTCTGTCCAATCAACGATATTCGAAAGTACCCGACCCGCGCGCGCATACAACGATATTTGGCGATATTTGGCTATCACATGTAGGTTTGTTTTAGTGTCAATAAAGGAGTACTAGTTTGAACGTTTGAACAAGTCACAACTAGTTTGGCAAGATCCAGGCGAATCAGAATGTGTACATCACCGCTTTCCTCACCGCCTCCTGCTTTGAATCCTACTTTGCACACCGCCTCTCGGGCAAACTCCGACTCTAGGTACTTGCACTTTCTATGCAGAATGCTAACAAAAACAAGTTACTTCTATCACCTCTTCAAAAATTTGATACTTTAGCCATTTGTCACGCTACTTCTTTCATACATAGCCGCTCTGATTCTGGAAGAATATGAAACTTTTTGCGATCAAAATGCAGATTCTTTTATGGCATAAAATATATAAAGCAGCAGAAGTTATATGACAGAATTTCAATTAGGAACATTGAAGACTGTACTAGGTTTCAGGCATAGAGGGTTTATCCATCTGATGTGCAGTAAGTAAACAAAATCATGTTGTATAATGGTCTCTTTTTCACGAAACCTTGTATAAAATCATAAAGTTATTCAGGTTCGTTCGTTTGGAGCATGAAAAATAAACATATGGTTACCAAACCAGCCACATCGAGATGGTAACAGGGCGAGTTCCTATTATTCCGCCAATTCCACTCTTCCTTGTAAAGACTCTACACGGTGCTGAAGGTCTTCGGCGATCTGTTTCACAGATCCTTGAATAACACCACCCCCGGGCCCGACAGATCTCTTGATATCGACCAACGTAGCCAAGAGTTTCCCGATTCGACGGCGTAAGATCTGTCTCATAGCTCGTGATTTGGCCTCGGTTCCCACTCTAAACTTTCCCAGGAATAGATCACAGTTCGCCTCCGGAACGGGACAGGTAATATTTCGATCGAACACGCCACGTATAGAGCGCTCGAAGCGAGCAGCAGACTGATGAGCCGATAAAGTCCTGGTTCCGCCGGGGGAAATGGGATTGGAGTTTATTGGCCATGCAGTTCGAAAAATGCGCTCCCTCTCGTGGGCGGAGATCGCTGCTCTGCGAAAGAGATCTTCGAAAAGGGAGACAACACATTCTGCAAGCAAGCTCAAGGCCATCAGGCTGGGAGGCCGTGAATAAAGACAACCTTCGTCTTCGGGTACATCTCTACCACATTTAAACAATTGCTCTTTGAGTAGGCGAGTGTCCCGCTCGGCTGTCATGACCACATCAATTGTTAGGAGCATTTTGTTCGTGCCACGAGAATGTTCGAGCCAGGCGAGACGACGGAGAATAGTTAAGTAGCATTGACCCTGGCATGGGCCATCGGACTCGGAAGCTGGTCGGGTAGTGCTGCGTGAACTGAGACTACCATTTCTGTTGCTTGGCGTGGCGAGCGAGCCGATCTCTCGGTCGCGATCATTGCTGAGAGAGGTATGTCTGCTATGATCGTCGGGCTGTCTCCCGCTTTGTGAAGAGCGAATTGAGGGATTTTGAGGCCATGAAGAATTCGCTGGAATTGATGGTTCCGCACATAGGTCTGATGATGAGAATATGGCCGGGTGAGAGATTGAGGATGAAACGAAACTGGTAAAATCAGGGTCGCGAAGTCCAGCCGTATCCTCAGATGCTTCATCCCTCCTTGAATTGTGCCTAGCGGACAGGGAGTTGCCAGTACAATTGGCGGTGTCAGTTGCGTTCCTATTTAGAAGCTCTGGTAATTCCGACAGGGAATCCTGGAGGCTTAGGCGCCGTCCCATGGCTGCTTCTGGGGGACTTGATAAAGGTAAAAGCTCATTGAACCCATATGAAGTCGTTGTATTAGCGGCCGGAGCAATATTTTGCGTCATTGGCCACGAGGCGCTTTCCAGGCCCAATTTCTTCCTCTTCAACTCATTCGGGTTCCGCCTGGGTGGAGCGGCGGTGGGCAACTGACGCGGTAAGAACGGAAGTTGACAGTCGATCGAGGATTGGGTGTCCTCCATAAATGCATCCTGGTGTATATTGCCCAAATCGCCTTTTTGGGAGGCTGTGCCAGTTGTGTCAGATACGAATGGAGTATCATGCGTAGAATCAGCCACAGATAATGAAATCGCGGTGGTTGAATCAGGCCACTGGCTCATAACATCCTCTTCTTCCGTGGCTAGAGGCGACGTGTCTTCTGCCTGGGCAGGCTGGGCATCCGAATCTCCACTCGGAAATTGAGCACCCTGAGACGAGGCATCTCGCTTTCTAGGTCTTCCCATGCGACGGAGTGGGCTATATACACAATGAACTCCGTGCTTCACACACCGGTCACACTCGGGCTTGTTTTGGCTGCATTTGATTTTCAAGGATTGGCAGGCGTCGCACGACGTGCGAAGTCGCGCCTGGGAAGACATGATTGGAGCAGAACAACAGCATCGGGTGATTTATAACGACGGTCAGTCGAGTTTCATAGAGACCTCGGGAGATCACCAGGTCAACAATTCAGCGGGGTTGATGTTCTCCAAACTGCGAGCTTCAGGGCTCCAGCGCTCTGAAGACTGCTGACAAATCTGTTCGGGCCCCAACTCGGGAAGGTAGCCAAATGTATCCGGTTGTGCTTTGTTCCTCAGTTTTAAGCGCATGGGCTGTGAGACCAGAGGATCTAGAGACCACTGTAGAAGCAAAGCCCTGAAAAAGCCTCTGTAGTGCGTGAGGAGAGAAAGGAACTATCTACACAGAGGAGAGACTAAAAGAGAAAGTAAGAGAAGTCAAGTGGCATCAGCCTCTAAAAGGCCTCCTCTATTCCAAGCCATATTTCTGTCACAGAAAACCAGATAAATACTGATTTATGCCAATGTATTGAATTGCGTGTTTTATACTAAAGTGGTGACACCGTAGTCTGAGGCTTTCTAATCGCACTTAATAGGGTACCTACCTAGGTACCATGGAGACAGGGCTGGGCATATTGTTTAGATTATGTATAACAGTGGTAATCTATGTATGGCGATGTATACATAGCAAAGTGTAAGACCCCATGATATCTACCTAAAAAAAGAGGATCTATAAGGTCAACTTTAGGGGATGACGAGGACAAGGGAAACGGAGACCAGAAGCTATGGCAGTATGACAAACTTATAGCTCCTCTACAAAAGTGAAGTAGCCTATAATTGGCAATAATAGTGTTGTGGATTATGTGGCATAGTACATCGGCATGTAGTAACTGCCGACCTAGCCCCAAAGGCACTCACTCACTTGATATGGAATATCTTATAATGCAGACGTTAACAGCTTTAGGACCTGACGTCGTATCTGGGGACATCGCGAGGAATTAAGTCAAAAGGTAGCGGCCACGGACTATGCCCTGTCGACATTGAAGGCAGCCTACGAAGTGGTTCTCCAGCATACACTATATAATTATCATCGTCATGTTTGTTTTCAAGTGCACTTCCTATTCCGTACAAGGGGTTCAAGTGTTACATATGTATGTTATATTAAGGCGCTAGCAAGTTATAGGAATTGATGTTACATGCACTAATGCAATCTGACGCAGACACGGGAGACTCATTTCTCGACATGTTGCCAAAGACGGAGCGCGGAAGTAGGACTGTTCGACCGATAAATAATATTAATGATACTACATGTACATACATAGGTACCTAGTAGGTAGTGGTGATACAAGATAGTACGCACTAGAATTTGTATCATTTTTAACCCTCTAGCATAGGGTCGCATAGCGAGACAATCAATCCATGATTTCGTACTCATCATCTTCAGGCCCCCAACGGTGAAAACACTTTGACGTATGAGATAGCATATGCTATGCAGGCTTACTTGCATAGTGCAGATAGTAACTAGTTAGTTCTGACATGGCACCGATAACGACAAGGATCGACAGCCACACGGTTGCTCTAGGAGGATCTAGATCAATATCAATAGTCCCCTCCTCCACTGCATCCCGAAGTATGAAAACCAGCGTTCTACATTTTTATTCGTTCTTCTGCTACGTACATATATTATCGCGTCGTCTTGATGGTACCATTTAATTAACCGACTTTACACAGCCGGCCCTCCTTCTCCAACTTCCACTTTTCACTATCCACGCCAAGTGGTGCCCAGAACGATCCTTCGGGGTCCCATCGATATTTCACTCCCCTCAAAATATCCCAATGGGCTCCATAAAACTCAACTTGCCAGTCCTCCAATTGGAAATCGGCTTCGTTCATATACGACCCAACTGCTGGCCCAACCCCTGCGTGTCTCTTTAGCGCCGGTCCAACCACCTGGGTCATCCCCTCGGCACGTGAAAGCCCATCCGCGCGAGGGGCAGAATAGTTCCACACTGATTGTGCCAGGACCGTCAGAGCTGCATAACGCCACGCGGGAAGAACAGCATTGTCTGCTACAGGTTGCACGGGTGTAATTCCTTTTTGAGTTTGGTTAATGTTGAGAGCGATAAACCCAAGAAAGGCACGCGTCTCTTCGGTGATTCGTCGAACGGTAGCCAGTAGAGAGTGCCGTCGCTCGTCAAGCTCCACACGCGGTATCAGCCGTCCTCCGAAGAGTTGACCCACGGGGTATGCACCCCAAGGCAAGGGTCCTTGGTATTTTCGGTAATGGTTGTAGAAGTTGACCTCAGAGCTGACCTGCAATGTGTATCGTATGTGCAGATCATCGAGCCGTGACTTCAGCGGGGCCAGCAATGTTTCCATCTCGGCAGCAGTCTGAATTCCCTCTATTGTGATAGGGTCATTTAAGATGGCGTAACCGGCTGTGGCCCCGCAGTCCAAGAGAGCTGGGAGTTCTTCTTGCCAGGCTGCAAAGGAGGCCCAGTAGGCATCATCATTGGCCTGATCTTGTCGGGATATGACCATACTGGCGCCTCCCACGGGTACGTCGTCGGGAAATGCCCGGACGGTGACAGATATGACAAATGCAAAAACACCCCCGGCCGCCCCCGCTGAGAGCCCAGCACAGTTTGGTGTGTTGAGTCGGCGAAGCGATTATGTGTAGCCCATCTGCTGTCACAACCTCCCATTCCAGTACCTGGTCTGCCGCCATCCCATAGGATGAACTCAATGGACCCTGTCCTCCGCCTTGGGTGTAACCCCAAGCAATGCCAACACTCGGGCAGAACCCTGCCACGATGCGCAACCCGTTCTCATGAGCAACCCTCACCGCATCCGATCCCATAGTACCTGCACCAAGGCGAAGTGCACTACCGTTGTGGTTCTGACTTTGATAATTTGGGATCACTTCAGACGAAGAAAGATGGTGAGTCCACAATGACAATGTCCCGCGTGCCGGCGCCGATTTCCCCATGTACTCATGTGTATTTTTGATTATGATTCGGACATTGTGCTCACGGGCAAAGTCAAGGCTGGCGTGTACTTCATCCACCGAACTGACATTGACAGCCATCTGGGCGTGTTCATTCACGTGGCATTGAATTTCGGATTCTCCAAAAGGATCGCAGGGGTTGCTGCCGGCGTTCTGAAAGAAAGCACTCATAACCGAAGTTGGAGAGTAAATGCTGCTGTCCTTTAGCCCAATTTGGTCCGCAGGAAGGCCATTTCCGTCTGGGTACTCAACTGGATTCTAGGCCATTCCCACTCTCTTCGAATCTCCTCGCATTTTGTCGAATTATACTGAGGCTGGTGACATGGTGCCCCGATGGGAGTCGATGCGATGAGTCGCCCTTTGATCGTCGAGTTGAAGTCCGCCCATTGCTGTGGACCAGGTCAACAAGCATCTCCAGGGACACAGCGACAATTGTCTGACTTATGCTCAAATAAAGATATGTGGGACCAGCATCGGTCGTATAGCAGAGTAGCCAAAAAACCAATCAACGCCGCGATTGATGACCAATGTTTGAGGTTTAACTGCTGCATCATTGCCTCCCCAAGGGAATCCCACCTTGAAACAAAGAAAAGACAGGCCCATCCTCAATATTTCATGGTTTGTCATGGTACCAAAGCTGGCGACCTGGCTGGGTTTCTAATCGGAATTGGTCCAATCGGGTACTTTTCTCACCCCTATATAGTAAACCATCGGGTACTTTTTTCCCTCTCGCAGCTTGAAGCTCAGTGGGTATTTAACAGAGATTCCTTGCTATTTCAACAATATTTTGCTATTCTCCTGGCTACTATTGATGGTGCATCGCTACATTCACTCAAAACCATGTCGGAGACAAACTCGAACTTCGTTGCGGACACCAAAGAAGAAAGAACCGATACTCCCTCAGAGTCCCAATATGAACTGGCACCGGTTAAGTACCCATCGGGACCGATTTTGGTCATAATTGTCATCGCATTGATGCTGAGCATGTTCCTGGTAAGTCCATAGCATACTCTTATAGATACTAATACCGAGCTAACTTTGGGATTTCAGGTCGCCCTTGATATGGCAAGTACCCGAATCATGAACAATCTCCAAGGCACCCTGCTAACTCTAAGTCAAGAGTATCATCTCCACTGCAATCCCGAAAATCACGACCCAGTTCAAGAGCATGGAAGATATCGGATGGTACGGCAGTTCCTTCTTTTTGACACTTGCCGCTTTCCAGTCCGCCTGGGGTCATGTATACAAGGGCTTCTCCCTGCGCGGCTCTTTTCTGGCGGCTATTGGCATATTCGAGATTGGAAGTTTGGTCTGCGCTTTGGCGCCAAACAGTATTGCGTTGATTGTCGGACGGGCCATCCAGGGCATGGGGGGAGCCGGTCTCACTGGCGGGTGCTACACCATTGCAGCCTTCATTGCGCCCCCAAAGAAAGTCCCCATACTCATTGGCTTGCTGGGGTCTACGTTCAGTGTAGCGAGTATTGCAGGACCTCTGCTGGGAGGCGCCTTTTCGCAGCATGTTACATGGCGTTGGTGCTTCTACATTAACCTTCCCATCGGTGGCGTGGCTGCCGGGGTCTTACTTTTCTTCTTCCGCACCCCTGACCAGGCCAAATCTGGAATGGGAAGGCCACTGAAGGAGAAACTGCAACAGTTCGACTTCATCGGTCTAGTAGTCTTGCTGGCAGGTTTGATCTGCTTTTTCCTGGCCCTACAGTGGGGAGGAGTCACGAAACCGTGGAGCGATGGCTCCGTCATCGCTTGTCTTGTTCTATGGGTTGTCCTGACCGGTGCTTTCCTCGGTATCGAGTGGTGGCAGAAAGACCGTGCGCTGATGGTTCCGCGACTATTGGCGAATAGGAATATCGGCGCCTGCTGTGCCTTCATCTTTTTGTGAGTCTCACTTTCCTTTGCGTCACGATCAAGCCTCGAAAACAACATCTGACAGAATCAGCCTCAATGCCGCCAACTTCTCGTTGATCTATAACCTTCCAATCTATTTCCAGGCCATCAATGGAGACTCTCCCATGACCAGCGGGATCAAAAACATCCCAACCATTCTCTCAACATGTCAGTTCCAGTCTCCTTGCATTTATATTCAGTGGAACTTGAACTGATAGACAGAAAGCCATTGCAACTTTCTTATCGTCTGCCATTGTCACCAAGGTCGGATACTACCAGCCATTCTTGCTAGCCGGCAGTATACTAGCCACTATCGGCGCGGGCTTGATCTACACCTTCGATCTGACATCCGGTCTGGGCCCTATTATCGGATATCAAATTCTGTACGGCACAGGCACCGGACTCTCAGTTCAGATCCCTGTTGTTGTAGCAGGAGCATTGAGCTCAACAGATGACCAGGCCATTACCATGGCGACTGTTCTATGTACGTCTAAATGTATTCTAGATACCAACTGTCAACCCACTGACCCATTCATAGTCTTCCAGTTCATCTCGGCCGCTTACGGTGTCGGCTCCACGGATTCGATCATGAACAACCTACTTCTGAAAAATATACCCAAATACATGAAGGGTATCAATCCTGAGGAGGTCATCTCTGCCGGTTCAAGTGGGCTTGAAGAAGTCTTCTCGGGCTCAGTGCTTCTTGGTGCACGACGCTCCTACCTTGATGGTCTGCACGGCAGTTGGGCCATGGGAATTGCGCTCTTTGGTGTGACATTTTTGTGTGCCCTCATTCCGAAGCGGGGAGGCAAAGTCCCGCGGCCGGGTGAGCAAGGTGGGAAGGATGACCAGGGCAACTTTGTTCCTATGGCCTAGTCGGTTTGAACTGGGCGTTGGTCTAGATTTTGGCAGTGGAGTCTCTAAGCTTTTGAGTTTCGGGTTTCGGGAGATTTATGCACTTCGGCTTTGGGTGGAGACAACCTTGGAAGAGTTATGCATAGATCTGGCATATGTGGTATAGATTGTACGATAAAAGAGACCAGGTACAGTTAGAACTGACTGCTCTTGCTCTAGCTGTCAAGTTGATTCTAGTAATATATTTAATATATCTCTACAAGCATCCAAGTGTTCAACTGCGACCTGATTAAATCTTCCCATTCTTTCCATTATTTATGCCTCAGGCATAAATCATATGAATTGGCCCAATTAGGCAATTGCCGAGGTATCCAAGTATGTCATCGCCAAGTCCTTTATACTCTTCCCAACGACTCCACATGCCATGAAAAGATTGGTGCTGGAGATCGAATAATCCCAACCGTTATTGCCCTGGACCAATGTTTTATCTCCTGCAGCGGGATAATTTCCACAATGGGTGGCCACTGAAGGAGATTTTCTTTTTCGATTTTTTTAAGACTGGCATATAACAAGACAGAGCCAGCAAAAAGAACTTCGACGACCTGCTGCACTTTAAAATTAAAGCTAAACCAAGGCTATCCGTCCCCTTGCGCAAAGCCCAATTACTCCACAGCCGACATTTTCACAATGGCTCCACAACCCCTTTCATTCCCGGGCTTCACCCCGATATCTGATCGGGTATACCTTCGGAATGGCCTCGAGAAGACCAAGCCAGCCCCAGTCGACGAGCCAACAACGATCATCATTTCCGGCTGGGGCGACGGCATGCCGAAACACGTTTCGAAGTATTCCGACGGCTACCATGAGCTCTACCCATCCGCGCGGATCATTGTTATCCTATCGCGTACCTTCCAGGCCACCAACCAACCCGAGGAAGGCAGAATCCAGGCCATGATGCCTGTCGTGGACACCGTCTTCCCAACGCCAACCGGCAGCGGAAACGAAGAGGAGCGCGTTCTTGTGCATGCCATGTCAAATACAGGCGCCATCTTCACTGCATCCACCGTTATCGCATACCAGCGCCGCCATGGGACAGACAAGCCATTCCCGCACCAGCTCCTGGTGCTGGATTCCACGCCGGGAAGTCTGGACTTCAGGTCTCAGGCTAGCCGGTGGGCGCGTGCCATGGCAGTTGGCACCGCCAAGTTCTTCCCTTGGCCCTTCGTTATCACTCATGGTCTGTGGTATGTTTTCCTCTGGGCTGTTTACCTGTGGCAAGTCCTGAGCGGCTCCGTGTCTTCGGGTGTTTGGGCGGACCGGATCATAAATGATAAGTCCTATGTTGCGACCGATTCTAGCAGAGTTTACCTGTACTCTAAGGAAGATGAGATCATTGGTTACAAAGATTTGGAGGAGAATGTCGCTCATGCTAAGTCTTTGGGCTACTCGGTTGATCTTGAGATGTTCGAGGGCTCGTCCCATGTGGGCCATATGAGACTTCATCCAGAACAATATTGGAATAAGATTTCCAGCTCTTGGAAGCAGGCCATGGCGGAGAAATAATGTGCTTTGGGGACTGGATATATTGTATTGTGTGCATTTGTATTTATAGCTTAGACCATGTTTAATAATTATATAGAGCCATTTCATTCATAGATTCGTTGATATCACTTGCTAGTTCCAGAACAAGGATGAAGGATGAACGTGCGATCCGTATCGATACGCAACTTGATTATACTCGTTGAATTACTCAATCGCAACTAAGATTTACAAAGGAAGCGGGAAGATATTCATATATAGCAATTCATCAAATTCATGATCCAATAATTCCGCGCTATCAATCTGGTTCTTCCAAAACAATGCGAAATGAATATACAAAGAAAACAGCCCGTCAGCTCCACTCCGGAGAAACAACCTAGTCACGGTCATCAGGATGGAAAACCAATGCTCGCACTTCAATACTCTCTCTTCCCGCTTCATTCTCGGTTTCCGGGTTAACAAAAGCTGTATGCGGCACACGACGAGCTCTTCCGTCAAGCTTGGAATCAAAACATTTGATAAGTGTCACCAAATCTGGAGTCTGCCCATAGCGGTAATACCATTTGATATTGGGATCGGGCTTGACACCATATGTCTCGCCCTCGCGGTCCGGATATATGAGCCCTATGGGCACGAGATCACTATCCGGGACTGAGTGTGCATCCGCCACAGCCAATGGATCTTTCAGGATTGTCTTGATCGGACGCCAGACGTTGATGATCTGGTACCGGCCCTTGAGAAGCTCGGGTGCTTCATCTGGGAGATGGTGGGAGACTCTGTTCTTGGACGCGGTGTAGGATTGATCGATGTGTACGCGTTGTACGGGTCCGCGGATCCGGGCACCAATGGTTCCGTCGGTCTGTGCTCGGCGGATCGTGTGGTCGAAGATGAAGATGCGGGAGGCACCCGTGCTGTGCGGGCCATGGTTAGTTTCATTCTGAGATTCTTGGGTTTAGGGATTGCATACGCGTCTTTTAGCAGCTGTTCTGTTTCTGTGTAGTATTCCCTCTTGATCTTCTCGTCATCCAGGAAGTCTTTCTCTTGGCTTTCATGATAGTAGAGCTGGAATCCATGGCTGTCTAACTTGTAGTCCAGCTCATGGCCGCTGATGTCGTGGATGGTGGCTGTAAGAGGAACCGAAGGTCGATCGTAAGTTTCTGGTCTACTAGTATATGTTGGTGCTGGCGGAGAGCCATCCTCGTTCTCTTTGTGGAAGTTCAGCGTAGTCTGGACATGGTGAGGCTTTTCGGAGACCGGGACTCCAGGCTTTTCTGAGGGAAGAGAGCCGTGAGAAGGAAACTGAACAGCTGCAGAAGCCATAGTGATATTATTTTGTTCCTAGAGAGATTATATGCAGATGATAGTTAGAATTAGCGAAAATAAACGGTCCTTTATATAGCATAACTAACTGTTGCGGGGTGAGGTCTATTTGTCAGAATACAGCACGCAATATTTGTATGACATGGAGAAATGCTGATAAATGCACTTTGTCCGAATACAAGAACCAAGCTACATATGTACTAATAAGTACATGTGATGGATGGAATTCACATTATTAATGGATGTCGTGCATATGCCATTTATAATCTCGCATTCCCCGGAAGATCATTTGACGAGATGACGCAACATGATTTCGAATTTACGATAGCTTTCTCTCCTATGTTAACTTAAGGTGCCTCAGAGAGATTATTCCAAAAGAGGCAGTGAAATACAAAATCTGTCATCATTCGCGGCTAAAAGTACTAACGTCTTGTGTAGATTCCCTGGCAAATCACGCATTTCCTATTCCAATGAGATGATGTTGTGTCCGAATCCGGCTATAGGGATACTAATTCAGACTGAGAGAATTCAGGAGGACTAGGGCAGCACATATAACAGAAAGATTCAGGGCGGGACAGATTCCATTAGCATATTAAGATTTTATCCGTCGGGGACTCAATTTGGCTCTTTTCATGAATTGTGTGCCCCAACTGGCGCAAATTTGTGTTACAATTATTGGAGATGACATCTCTCTCTGGAGCGTGCGATTAGTCGACAAATATTCCACTATCCGAACAGCCGATCTGACGGAGGGTTATTTCCTAAATAGAATGACGACCCTAAGCAAAGGCACTGTTTCAATTGCCGATAGTCTGCAGTTTGTGTATACCGTCTATTAGCCCACGGGTTCCATACGACTTTGGATGCCTAGGCCGGAAATTGCGACTACATTATTTTCTGAATCAACTCTACAAGATCCATCAGTCACTTATTCACAACATAAGACCTTGATAACCCGATCATTTGGCCCAGGATGATATTGGGATGTTAAAGAAGACTCCTACGTCTTTTGAGATGTCACTCTAAGTCATATACATCAACCATACAACGGACATTTTTTAATATAACCAGGGATTGGAGAAGACATATTTGTTCCTAACCTTGGAATGCATCGAGTAAGTCGTTCACGTAGCTCTTCACAGACCTGGAATTGGGCTTTTCTTGACATTTTCTTTCTTATATATATATATCAGCTCGCCCTAGCATCTAAACTATTATCCAGCATCGAATAAATGCGAATTTATACATCTATACAATAGAAGTCGAAGTAGAAGCGTTATCAAGATAAACTTCGCCACCAAGGTCCCCCTCAACAAAGTCAAAAGACCCCTCGGCAGTCTGTCATCCACATCGCACCATTTGACATCTATAAGCGGGGTTCAATAATCGGGTATAAAGTCTTCTAAAATCCCTGTGATTCACATTATCCACCAAAGAGTCTAAACTCCATCACCATGGCCATTCAAGCAAAATGGACCAAAGTTGTCGAGGCAGAGATCTTACAACGATCTTCCCAGATAGTCTCCGTCGTTGACAAACAGATCTACATCTTTGGCGGGGAGCTGCGGCCACGAGAACCCAGAGACAATGACGTTCACCTTGTCTCACTTGGAAATCGTGAGTTTCCCTATGTATCCACAATATCATACCTAATCGAGAGACAAAATTCCTCAAACCCAATACCTTCACATACAACTAACCAACCCCATAGCTGCAACCCTGTCCGCCAAACCCTCAACCGAGCAATCCCCCTCACCACGAGTAGGAACCGCATCAGCAACCCTCAATGGCAAAATCTACCTATTCTCCGGACGCGGAGGCACAGCAATGGCACCGATAGAAGAAAGCGGCGCAGTGTGGGTATTCGATCCCAGCGCCGACAAATGGTCACTCCTAGCACCATCCGAGGCAAACCCTGGCTCCATCCCAGCAGCGCGCAGCTACCACTGCACAGCCAGCGACGGCCAAGACACCGTGTTCATCCACGCAGGCTGTCCGGAGAACGGCCGTCTCTCCGATCTCTGGGCGTTCAGTGTTTCCCGGAAGCAATGGACGGAACTTGCTCCGGCGCCGGATCCACCGCGCGGTGGGACGTCTATTGCATTTGCTGGGGGTAGACTGTATCGGATGAATGGATTTGATGGGAAGCAGGAGCAGGGCGGTAGAGTAGATGTCTATGAGCCTGGAACCAATGTGTGGAGCTCGCACTCGTTCGTTTCGGACAGTGTGACTGGGCCGTCGCCGCGGAGTGTGGCAGCTTTGCTTCCTGTCGTTCTTTCTGGTCGTGTGTACTTGGTTACCCTGTTTGGTGAGCGGGATCCTAGTTCCTTGGGACATCAGGGTGCGGGGAAGATGCTGGGTGATGTGTGGGTGTTTGATATTGAGACCAAGTTGTGGACGAAAGTTGAGGGTCAGGGAGATGAGCGTCCTGCTCCTCGGGGTTGGTTTGATGCGGATGTGTTTGATGCTGGCAGTATTGTGGTTCACGGAGGACTGGGAGAATCGAATGATCGGCTGGGTGACCTCTGGACTCTCGAGTTTTTCTAGTCTTGTGAAAGAAATCAGACAGTCTTTAACATGAATGAAATTTTGAGGAGAAAACAAAGTAGGGAGAAGCTAATGTATCATGAACGCACAGCGAAAGCGCAATGGAAAAATCAAAAGGAAATCATTTGTGCTATGGGGTCTTGAATCGTACAGTTGCCATATTTGCCTTGTCCATTCCGCAACAATTCATGAGAATAATTTGACAGAGAAAAAGAAAAGTCAAGTACCATACACCAAGACCATAAGGAAAAGTCCGAAGGGACAAAGAGAAAAGGCAAGTGACTGTCATCGCAAAACGGAAGCAAAAAAAATGAAAAGAAAAGAAAGGAGCAGAATTGTCAATGCAACAAGAGACCTCCGAGAGACAAATAAAAAGAGTAGTTAGTGTGACAACTATCATGCACAGAAGAAGTGAAGGATGATCTATGCGTTAGAACTCTACTCATGTTCAGAGCATTGCTTAGAACATGAGAGAGCGAGTTTTCTGTCGACGCGCTTCGAGACTACCCATCTCGGGTTGAGAGTAGGTGTGCTTGTGTCGAGGACGTGGGGATTGAGGCGCCGGCGCCCCAGATCCTGCAGAAGTTGGAGGTCCCATCATGGCACTGTTTCGGTTCCGGACAGGAGATTGGAGTGGGGCAGATGCTGTGGGAATCCCACCGGTTGGACGACGAGAAGCAGCCTCATTGCTGGTCTTCATGCTACGCTCGCGCTTGAGCACGAGATCAGCCCAGGGCTTGAGTGCACCATTGCCGGAGCTAGAGCCCTTCCCAACAGCTTCAGACATGACTCGAAGCCAACCCTCCTTATCTGCGGGGCTATCCGCATAGAAGTCAATCACTTCACCATTACCAAAGCGGATGCGGAATCCCTCTTCCACAAACATGTAGCCGTCTTCTTCCTCGGCAAAGGCAGACTTGCGGCGGGAACCACCCTTCGTGCTGGTCTCCTTCTGAAGTAGAGAGGATCGATCGTCAATGAGTTTGGAGGCCTTAGCTAGATTGATTGTAGCACGAGGTTGGCGCGTTGTTTCGTGGAAGGCCGTTAACTTGGATCCCTGAAGCTTGAAGAAGCGACGGCGCCAGTACTGTTGTGATCGATTAGTTTTAACTCGGCAATGAAAGATTTCATATGCACTTACTGGACAGTCTCCACCCTGTTGGGAAAGGAACCCTTCCCAGGAGCGAGATGCAATACTTTCTGCGTCACGCATTTCGCGAATGCAGGCATTCATGCTCTTCGGCATGTCTTCATCCTTGCTACCCTTAGGCTTAGGCACGAAGAGCAGCTGCACTTCCAATTTTCCAATCTTGTATGGTGGTCGACGCTGCGTATTGATGCTAGTCGCACTCTTCTTGCTCTTGATGCTGCTCATCTGTTCCTCAACTGCCCATTCGTTGAAGCAAGCAACATCAACTATGTGGGGACGGCCAAAGGCCTGCTCCTCGTGGTCGCTCAAAGCCACATATGCGCGGCCAAAGCTACCGTCACGCGCAACCAAGTTTCGAAGCCGTTCGTACACAGGAGCATTAACGTCCTTGGTCTTCTGTTGCTGTGACTGCATTTGTTGCTTGATGTCAAGTTCTTTGCGGCGACGTGGGGATGCAAATACACGGCTGAGAGCCGACGCTTTTTGGCGGGATGGCGATGCTGCGGGTTCTTGGGTTTGGAACTTGCTCTCGTCAATCTTCATCTGCAAGGTCAACTGGAACTCAAGGTCATTCTGGACAATGAGCTCGAACTCCTGTCCAATGGGAGCGGACTTGCCCATCTCCAACCAGGAGGTGGTAACACAGTGCAGTCCGTTGTCCAAAGTCAGTGCAAAGTACGACCGTTCACCTAGAATTCGATTAGTAACAGTGAATTGGATTCGGTCTTATAATGGGGTCTTACCGCGTGGGAGAGGAAGGTCGCAATATTTAAGGCCTACAACCTTCACAAACAAACGCCCTCGCTCTTCTCCATCTTCGAACGATTCGGAGATGGCTGGCTCGTTTTCTTCAATGGTCGCGGGGGCTTCCTGGACATTGCTAGGCTGTCCGGGTAGAGGTGGGACTCCACCCGCACCAGGGACAGGCTTCTTCTTCGGGATACCGTTGCCAGGCTTAATACTTGGGCGTCGCGGTGAGCCGTTCCAAGGGACCGTAGTCCAGGTCTGTTGGCTAGGCTTGCGTGGAGAAGAGCCAGCAGAACGTGTACCACGCGGGTCTTGGGCAGTGCGCTCGGGAGAAGGCATAGCCTCTTCTTCTTCGTTACGGCTGCTGGCAATGATAACTTTGGTGTTCTGTCTCATGAGATATCCTCTCTGTTTGGGGGTGGGGGAGTCAGCGGTGTGTACATTATTTGCTAGGGTCGGATCCTTGGGTAATATTGCCTGGGAAGGCGGCACAGAACCGGGGCTTTGGGAAAGGGCAAGGTGAAACGCAACCTTTTGGGATTCAATGACGCGATCAAACTCCTTGTCGAGTCCAAAGCCAAGGCTCTCTTCCTGAATACTAAAGGGAATGTCGAGTTTCAAGCAACTGCTCTGTCGCTGGGCAAGATCCGTGGGCAGGCCCAACTTCGGTGGCGAGTCAACCTGCTTGGGTTCACGGTCCGATGAGTTTGAGTCATTGGAGATCTGCTTGGTCAATGAAGGTACGGGAGGAGCGTGTTGGCCACTGATTTGCCGGCGGGTAGCAGCCATGGACTGCATATCCGCAGGGGTCAGTGAGGGTCGGGTCTTGAGACCAGCACCAGGGGCTCGAATGGTTGCGATGGGCTCAGGCACAGACTCGTCGGATGAGCTCTCATCATGTTCCAGCTCCGGCTCCCCTTCCTCCTCTATTTCGCCCTCCTCTTCTTTATTGTCGTCTTCGTCATCGTCGTTCTCAATGGGATGGCGAATGACAGAGTCTGGGGTAGAGGGCTCGGAAGCTTGGTCTTGCTGCATCTCAGGGGTGATAGGCCGTGCGAGAGACTGACGGATAGACGCCATATCGAAGGACTGGTCTTGACTGGCATTCGGCTCTTTGCATGCTTGGGCATTCTCTTCTGGCTGGTCAGGCTTTTGGGCGTCGGCCTGGGTTTCAGCACTAGGGGTAGTCTCTCCAGACCCCTCTTTGTAACTATCATGTCCAGTGTGTTGGCGCTCGGCAGCTTCGGCAGCAGAACGTAGCGAGTAGTTGCTGTCTTCGTCGTATTTGGCCCGTTGGTCACGGGACGACAGGCTGTTGTCTGACCTGTTCTGATAATAATCCGTAATAGAGTAGAGGTCTTCATCGTTCTCTTCCTGTTTAATGATTACACTGGAGTTGTCATCATCATCGGTCTCCATGGATGGAATGGGAACATCAGGGTCGTAATGGTCATAATGGTTGGGGCTGGAAGCAATTTGAGAAGAGTCGTCGAAGCTGTCATCCTCATAACTGTCACCCTTGCGAATTCCACGCAAGATTGAGTCGCGAGAAATGCGAGGCGGAGAAAAGAAGTTCTCTTTGGCCTCGTCATCTTTGTGGGTATCATCTTTGGATGTAAGGCTTTCATTTGCTCTAGGAAGCTCCAAGGGCTCCTCGGCGTTATTGGCGTGGTCATCATGTGGCTTATCATCATCATCTCTCTCCTGGAGCATCATGAGACGCAGCCTCTCCTCTAGGGACCCGGCGCCGGGGATATCAGACTTTGTATATGAAGCAGGAGCTGGAGGTGCAGGAAGCACACGCTGGCCTGCGCTACCGAGCTCAAAGGCAGCAGCGAGCTTACCAGCCGAGGATGGACGCGCACCAGACATGCGATTGACCGATGGCAAAGGCGGCAGGGGACGTCGCTCGCCGTTTGAGTCCAGCGATTCGACGCGTGTGTGCTGAGAAGACCCTCCTTCACGTGAGATAGGTCGGTCCTCGGCGCCGTCTTCTTCAACGTCTTCGATGAAGGGATCACCATCACTGTTTGTGCTTGAGCTCATAAAACGCCAGTCTTCGGGCAACACAACAGGGGTCTTCTCGATATCTTCCAGCGAGGCGTCAAAGCTATCATCACGCTCAATGGATGACTCGGCCTCAAAACTAAGATCTGCCTCTTCCTCGGACTCGTAGCTGTTTTCTCGTGACTCGGATGCAACTGAGGAAAGATCCGGTGTCGTCATTTCATATTCATTTATTTGAGGAGGGGCGTGGTCAAATGTAACACTCTTTGCATGTCGATGCCCAGCACTGCCATACTCGGACCAAATATCATTCTGAGGGTCAAATCCCTTGCCGTACCGGCTACCTTTAGATAGTGAGGATTTGCTCGGCGATGCTTGGTCTTTGCTCGGGGATGACGGGCGAGAAGTCTGGGTGGCATCTTCGTCGAAATGCGACTTCGCAACATTCATTTGACTGTCCCGTTGCGGCGACCTCTCTGAGGCCAAGGGTCTGTTAGGAAAGACTACTGAAGCTGGGTCATACTCTTGACCACCTTCGAGGAGCATGCTGTGATTTTTGACTTTCGACACGCGTTTTAAATTCTCGAGCGACGGGCGCTTTGCAGGGAAATAGCACCCCTCTGGATCATATGGCGCTTTATTCTCGGCTCCCTTGGGGAACGGCGATGGGGAGTCGCGACCTTTCCAAAAGAGGCGTGGGGAGGTATTGTTATTCAGAGACGATACATCGTATGCAGGAGATTCGCCATGCGGCATCTGCTAGTCTTGTTAGCATCTTTTATCACCGACCTATCATGTTTTGACAGTACCTTAGTAACTTGGCTCCAGCTAGGCGAATTGCGCCTCTGGGCCATGGGGCTCACTTCGGAGAGTGGCCGCTGACCAGATCCGTTACCCATACTGACGTTGGGTTTGTTGGTAACTCAGTATACGAAGTGCGCAATCGTAATAGAAGACCAAGACAGGATGTCTACGATATGTCAGTGCCTGTTTACCAAGTCCTGATCGGTGAGTGGGTTCACGACTGATGACGAAGGACGTAAGGCAAAGTCGCTCAGGAATCAGGTACCATACCTTTCTTAATAGCAGGAGTCGC